GTGCACTGTGACTACATGTTATGTCTACACATAATGGAGTCAAAGCCTAGGTTAGGTGGTGGCCAGTTTGTCTGCTAAGCAACATTTGGTGTGCATGCTTTGGAGCAAAACTACTGACTAAATAAATAAATAAATAAATAAATTTTCAATGTCAAGAGTCTGTCAGCAAGAAAAAGATCTGTGAAATTTTGTACATGTTATCTGTTCATGCTAATGGTGGAGTTAGTATATAGTCACTTCATAATGCCAGTAACACAGAACTCTGGGAATTTACCTACTTGTAGAAAGGACTCTCGTTTTTCTATTCTATTTCTTTTTTGGTAGTCCCAAGTGAGGAAAAAATATTTTAAGCCTCTTGGGGAACTCAAGTAATAAATAGAAAAAAATTTTTCACTTTCTAAGTTAAAAAAATATTTGAACCTCTTTCTTGAAGACAATGTAAGTAACTTCCAACCATACTGAATATTTGGTCTAGATGGATTTTCTCCTCCATTTCTTTACTTGTTACAGAATCTGAAATAGCTGGGACCATGGCAGTCATACACTGTGTACAATACAGGAATATGTTTCTAAGATCTCTGGCAGGTGCTCATACAGTCTTTACTTAACTGTTTCTAACAATGGGTAGCTCATTATCTTTAAAAGAAGTTTATCTCCTCTTTAACACTTTTGAGTACAAATTGTTAGAAGTTTCTTCTTATACTAAGGCAATATTTGTTTCCCATTCACCTACCAGTTCTGACACCGCCCACTGGAGCAGAATTACATAGTTCCTAATGAGGAGTTTATAAAGGCAAGGATAGAACAATTCATTCTATCTCATTTAAAAATTAATCACTATGACAACAGCTATAATTTACACGTCATAATAAGTCCCTATTTTTCTCAAAATTGATATTGGAGCAAATGATTTTACAGCCTTTCCAGTGAACCATATTGTTTCAGACTTCTAGTTTAAGCCCATAGCAACAAATATCTTTATTTTGGTTCTCTAAAAAAAGTAATAGGAGTGTACTGGTGGTGGGCATACAAAATGGTCCTGCCACAGTATGGAAAACAGTAAGGAGGTTCCTCAAAAAATTAAAAATAGAACCTATAATCCAGGAATTCTACTTCTGGGTATTTATCTGAAGAAAATGTAACACAGGTTTGAAAAGATATGTGTACCTCTATGTTCACTGCAACATTATTTATAATAGCCAAGATAGGGAAACAATTAAGTGCCCATCAATAGATGAATGAATAAAAAAGATGTGGTATATAGTATATACAATGGAGTATTAGTCAACCATTAAAAAAATGAAATTTTGCCATTTGTAGTAAGATGGACAGACCTAGAGGTATCATACTAAGTGAAAAAAGTCAGATGGATAAAGACAGATATCATACAATTTCACTTATATATGGAATCTAAAAAACGACACAAAGGAACAAACAAAACAAAACAGATACAGCCTAACAGCTATAGAAAACAAGTCAGAGGGGAAGGGGTGGGATGGGCAAAACAAGGAAAGGGGATTAAAAGATATAAACTTCCAGATATAAAATAAAGGAAAAACAAGAATGCAATGTGCAACACAGAAAATAGGTAATAACATTGTAATAACTTTGTATGGTGACAGATAGTAGATAGATTTATCATGGTGATCATTTCATAATGTATATAAATACTGAATCACTACGTTGTGCACCTAAAACTAATATAATAGAGTATGTCAGCTGTACTTCAATTTAAAGAAACAAAAGAAGTATATTAGGCATTTGAAGATAAAGGACAAAACATTGACCCTCAACTGTGGCCTCTCAGTTAGTGAAAAATTATTTCTTTGGTTACATATCTTGATGTAGAACCAGAAATCGAGCTTATAGGACACTTCAAAGGATGAAATAAACTTTAAAGGGCAATAGGCAAACATTTGCTGTATTCATGTACTCCCAATGAAGTGCCATTAGTCCGTTGTAGATATGATGAATATATGAACAAAGAAAAACATCTTTCTAGAACTGTGGTAATGAAAGTTAACCAGCAGTTTTGATGTATGGTAAAATCCAAGACTATATACCACCATTTCAACAATATTTTTTTAAGAAGATATGGATATAAGGTAAACTTTTTTATGGGGCATTACAAAAAAGTCCTAAATTTCTGTTCCTAAATTCATTTATCTATGGAATGGAAAAGCATAGCTATTTTATAGACTGAGCCATGTTAAATTCTGAGCTCATCTAAGAAAGATGACAAAGCAGATACCCAACTATGTTATTATTATTATTATTTTTTTTTTGCTGTGCTGATGATTACTTTCTATTTCATAAGAGGAAATAGACCTGTGGTGAGGTTCATGTCTACTGATAGTCTCCAAGAAGGGAATATGCAGTACATTATATTTTCTGCCTTCCCAAGATTTAGGGTGGTGTCTTCCTCCAGAAGGAAGATTACATTAGAGATGCATGAAATGGAAATACTAAAGGGGTCCTGGATTGCAGACCCTACCCCTCTCCATCTTCAACCCATAAGCATGAATTTTGCAATTAGTTGTTTCTGAATTAGCCAAGTTTGAAGGTTTTTGGAACCACCTTTACTGCCCCACCTTTAAACTTCAAATTACTATTCTATACTATACAGCAAAAAAATCCCAATTATGTCCCATTAAGAAATGTGTCGTTTTGACAAAGGGCAACCATTACCTATGGTGAACAGTAGGGATACCTCAAAGTAGTCCAAGTCACCTTCCTCCCCACCCTAAGAGAAAAACCAGTGTATCAGCTACACTTAACTGGCTGACCCCTTCAACCTCTTGAAATAACCACTTAGCAAAAAGTTTGTAGAAGTCCTTTGTGGATTACAATGAACCATGTAAGCCCATTTGTGTCCTTCCTCTAATTTATAGTCCCAGGAAAAGATTATAAAAACAAAAAACAAAAAACATTGTTTACATTGCCCAGGGGACTGGCTGAGTCTCAGCTTGCCAGAGCCCGGCTGGCGAGCAGAACCAGAGAGTCTTCTGTACTAATGGATTCTCCAATGGCAAGTGAAAACACTACTGAGGCTTCAAGTGGGGCCAGCTGCCTGTCCCTCCCAAACCCCTCAGCCATGAGGCACCCACAGGGCTTGCCCCTAAGTGAGAAAGCAGACCCCACCCAAAGAGACCACAAATGAACCCTCCCTGAGTTACTACCCTCAGCTGCGCTAAGAATGACAATAAACCTGCCTTACGGGGAGGAAGCATCCCCAGACTGCTGTGCCAAACATCAGGAAAACATTTGGGTTTGTAAAGGATGCCATGAACGGTTGGCCCTTCAAGCAGCAAGGCAGCCAAACTAGTTTGGTAGCAGTCCATTGCCAAGGGTCTGATCTTCCCTAACTAGGGAGTTCAAAATATACGTGGGGATTTTGACCTTCAAAACACCATTCTGCAGAATGGTGTCATTATTGCAAAAACGTAAGACTTTTTGTTTAAACTATAACATTGGCTTCTGTGTCGGGAATAAAGATTGAATATATGCCAGATTGATTAATTGGATTCTTCAGGATCAGTGGTTCACAAATTTTCCTCCATGAAGGCTGGATATCAAGGCAGAAGACCAGGCCCACTGCCTCCCAAGTGAGGTAAGGGAGATAAGAGAAAGCCAAGTTCCAGTCCCCTCACCTTTGCCTGAGCCACAGCAGTTTCACTTTTGTCTGCTTTATCTATTGGTATATAAGCATGATTTGGTTTAACAGAAGTTCTACTTTAACAAAAAGATTACAAAGAACTTAGGTACACTTTCAGTTCCCGTGGCAAATTCATGTAAGCTTGTTTTGCCCTCTCTTTTAATTCTAGAGCCAGGAAAAATGTGTCCAAATCAAAACAACGCAAAATAAAACTAAACCCAAACCTACTTGCCAAGTAAAGAGGTCTAACTAATTTGCGAACATCAAAAGAAATTTGATTCATGATGTGCCCTCTGGGCAATTAGAAATCACATGAAAGATGGACATTTAGTTCATACTGTCTCAGTGTAGTAGTTATTCTATAAGAAACAGAATTGATTGTTCTGGTGTCTCCAGGGTGGTAGTAGAGGAAGCACCATCACACTAGTACTGTTATCAATTCCGAATTCCAAGGCTTCTGGATGCACTTAACACTGAAGATGTTTTGTCACGGACTATGTAAGATCCTGGAAAAGGGTACTCAGAGAACGTAACAAATGTTTCTTTAGGATCTGCTTTATGTCAGGTGATGTTCTAAGCACGTTTCATACATTATCTCATGTAATCCTCAAAGAATTCTTATAATGAAGATATTATTAAATATACTTTACAAATGGATAAACTGGGCCCAAGAGGCTTAAGTGACTTGTCCATAGTTACACGACAGGTTTCCTGGGCTCTCTGAAGCACTTGAACTCTGCAGGGAATAGATCTGAGTTTGAATCCTGATTCAACCCCTTATTGCATGAATTACTTAAAGCAAGTCATTGCCCACCCTGAGTCTCAGTTTCCACATCAGTAAAATGAGGAGCCCTTTCCAGACTTAAAACTCCTTTGATACTCGACCTGACATCACAATGGTAGAAGTTAAGCAAAAGAGCAAACACTTGAGCCATCCTGCACATAAAAACTATTCAGATTTGCTAAAAAGATAAAGAAAACTTAAAATATTATCTTCTTTTAATTAATATTCGTAGCAGCCTCCAACCTAAGTGAATATTTAAGGAAAGACTAGGTTTGGGCATAGACAAGATCCTTGACTACAGTTTTCTGAGAACTCGAGAATTAACACAAATAAAGTACATGCTCCATGTGTTGATGCTAAGGAGTGTGGGGCAGAGTCCAGAGACACATCAGAATCCAGAAGGATCTGTAGGGTCAGGAACTGCTGGGGAAACTTTAGGAAGAGGTTGAGATGTGTAGATGGACAGGTATGAAAAGAGGAGAGGCTTCAGGGGCTGGGTGGAACTGTGAAGAAAGCAGTTTCCCCTCTAACGCCAGGCCACTGTGTGTTTGATTTGCACAGACAAGCCCACGGGGTATGGTTCAAGCAGTCGGAGGGCACCTCAGACAGGCATTGTGGACGAATGCTGCTTCCGGAGCTGTGATCTGAGGAGGCTAGAGATGTACTGCGCACCCCTCAAGCCTGCCAAGTCTGCCCGCTCTGTCCGTGCCCAGCGCCACACCGACATGCCCAAGGCTCAGAAGGTAAGCCAGCTGGTGGGGAGGGATCCACCATCCTCAAGATATTGAGGATACTTGTGGGTAGGCCAGACAGAAATTATGCCCCACAATCTCCTGGCTTACAGGTCAGAAAAGCATCATTCTCACCTCAGATATCCATCCCTTTGGTCACTCCACATTGCAAATTCTCCTTTCCACTGCTCTGGATAATCTGATACCAGAAGACAATGGAGAACAGTCACTAAACGTGAGCCTTGGTATCAGACAGAACTGAAGTCCTAGCTTCACCAGTCACCAGCTGAGAGCCCTTGGCCAAATAACAGAGCCTATCCAAACCTTAGTTTCATCAGTAAAATTGGGATAATAATATCTACTGCATCAAGTTGTTTTAAGAATTAATAAATAGACATGCACTTCTTTTCACATCCTGCACAAATTAACTGTTGGACAAGTGTTATCATCTTTCATAATTGTAATTAATAACAAAGCATGTAACTTTTCAAATCCTAGTATTCTGCAAAGGTGTAAAAAAATATATGTTAAAATGGGAACTACTTGAAATTCACATTCAGTAACAAATTCAATTAAAGAAAAACCACACTAAACATAGAAATTTCTGTTTGGCTCTAGGAATACCTAGAAATTTCTAATGATCAAAATCTGTAGGTGTCTTTATCTATGACCTAGAGTTCAAAGAAACCTTACAACTACTATCTATGCCATCAAAAGTACATAAATCATCTCATGCATATTAGTCACTTTATAAATTTTGTTGAATGAGTGAATAAAATGAGTGAAAAAATGAGAAGTGCTTAAATTTTAGTCCTGAAGTAGAAAGAATGAGAACTGAAGAGTAAGGGGTAGGTGAAGGAGAAAAAAGAAAGTGAGGAAGGGTTGGTAAGGAGAGTAAAGTCCAAGTATGTCTCCTTGGGAACACTGTTTGAAAAACCAAAACCAGAAAACAAAAACAAAAAACTGTGGTTTTACTCTTTGGAGCCAAAACTAGCATTTTGCAGAAAGCATAAGAAGAGAAACCAAGAAGTTCACAGTGACACATGTGCTGATTCCTGGTCGGCAGCTGAGCCTGGAGGATGACCAGGGAGCTTAGGGGAGAGGTGACCCCAGGGAGCCACCATGAATGATGGAAAGGGCTTGGGCACAATCTGGTGCACAGAGAACACAGTAACCAGTGGGTAAGTCAGGGAGCAAGCATCACAGAAGTAACTTAAGTGAATGTGTTTGAGAAGTGTGCTTGAGGGGACAAAGGCAGGTTAATTCTTTCTCTTCCCAGGTGACCCAGTACCTCAAAATTTCAAGCTGGGGATATGGTGGGGGTCAGAGATAAGTCCCAGAGTTCTAGAAGTTTGGGTCTTTTGGCTGTGGCCTAGACATCCCTCCAGCACCAATGTTGTCTCCTATACCACATGGAGCCCAGGCATTCTGGGCTGACTCAAAGGCTCTGTCACACCAAGGGAACCACCTGTTCTCAATACAATTATTTTTGTGATGTTTACAGTATCATCCCCCATCTACCACCAAGAAAACGAAGTCTCAGAGGAGAAGGAAAGGTGGGCCAAAGAAACGCCCAGGAGGGGAACAGAAGGTGGGGACGGAAGCAAGTCAGCAGATGAAAGGAAAGAAGAAAGAGCAGAGAAGGGAGACTGGAGCTAGAAACTGAACACAGAGGCAAAAAAAGGAAACTGGAGGAGAGAAGGACTAAGCAGACAGAGGCAAGGACGATGAGAGAGAAGCAGACAGCGATAAAGAAAAGTGGGAAGTTCTATAGAGGAATGAAGAACAGTAGGCCTGGTGGAGCTAGATAATGCATGTGATGGAAGGAGAAGGAACCTGTTGTAGAATGTGGATAACAAACATGGAGATAATGGAAAAGAAAAATGTAATGCCCAAGGAAGTCCAAAGGAAAACAGAGGCAAGAATGAAAAAAAGAACAGAAATAATGAAAGAGGCAAATAAGATACTACATTCCCCTCAAAAAAAAAAAAAAAATTAAATAAGAGTAAAAGAATTAAGATAGAAATCAAGGCTTTTATGTGCATTTTAAAACTTTGTGTGAAGCTATTATAGAAGAATTGCCCAGGTCCATATATGTCCAGAGTTAAATATTAGCCCAAAATTCTCAGCAAGACTGAATTGTGTCATAGAAGTTCCCAGATTTTCTTTCCTGCAGTGTCACTGGAGGCTGGGATTCTTAGTCAAGTCCAGGTTCAGGCCAAAGGGCACAAAGTATTTGCCTAAAAGCTTGTGAGGCCGGTGAGGTAACCTACAAGAGAAGGTCACTGAACCTTTTGGTTTTTTTTGCACTTTGAAATCAGATATAAAAATGTGTTAGTTGTATCAGTCTCTTGGGCTGCCATAACAATGTACCACAGACTGGGTGGCTTAAGCAACAGATATTTTCATACATTTCTGGAAGCTAGAAGTTCCTATATCCAAAGAGGACATGTTTTAGTTAATGAGAGTCAGGACTATAAAAATGAGTGGCTAAGGAGAGATACAATTCAGGCCATAACAGAAGACTTCTGATGTCTGATTACTGCCTTCTAATCCTATCTCCTATAAAACTCTGTGTGTATGTCTATCTCTGTCTCATATGCGCATGCACACACACACACACACACACACACACACACACACACAAATTTAGGTTTTCAGATATGAAATCTTGTAAGTTTCTGTTCCATGGAAACACTAGGACAAAGAGCTTCTGAATTTGATGGGTTCCATCCCTTCACTTTAAAGATAAGAATACTGAGATCCATACAAGAGTAAAGGCATGCTTGAGTTCTAAGCTGCCCTCCTTCCGGCCAGCAGAGAAGAGCACATAATCAACATGGACTAAGAAATAATAATAAAAGGAAAAGACAGGGCAGAAATAGATGGCACATGAAATCTTCTTAATAGTTTCCCCTGAAGGTAAAAAAAAGCCAAGTAGAACCACAGAATTCAGGTCTTGTAAATCATCTCCTTCAGCTTCTTTGATTTAATTAGTAGGCTTAGAGTCTTCACAGATATAAAACAAAAAGTCTCAAGATCACCCAAATTGTGAATTATAAGACCTGAGAGAGGGTGTAGAAAAGAAGTGGTCACCAAGGAAATGATGACACTTGGTGTAAGAAGATGACTAAACCAAGAAGTGAAACATTTCATCCAAGTAACCTACTTTGAAGATGTCATGGTATAGAGGAACCTCTTTTCCGCCTGATCCTTCATGCCCCTGATGTTTCTACTTCAGGATCATCCTTGCTCTATGGTGCAGTGAAAACACAGGATATATAATAAATATAATATAACAAAACATATAAAGCCATGCCCAAGGCTCAACCTGGGAGGAAAAGTCCAATCAGAAACATGTCAAGACTAAGATGGGAGCTAAACCACTTCTGCTGTGGTTACAAAAGCTTGGCCTATCTGAATAGACAAGGGTAGGCTGGTGCCTTAGCCCATCTAGCCAGCCACCTTATTCAGGAGATGCAGAGTTCTTCACTAAGACATCCATGCTTTGAGACCAGCCTCATGCATAAGCCGATGTTTATTGTGACCACCACCTGAGAGTAGCCTGTAAACACAGATGGTTCTTCAAGTTCCACAGAAGAATTAACAATTCATGTCCTATGGAAAGGTTCTTTAGAGGATTATCTTGTCCCTATTTCATTGTTGACTGAGTAAATGTCAATTATGACTCAGGGTTTTGGATAAACTCTAATTATACTCTATGATAAACTTCATTCAAAAGAAGTGAGGCAGAGACTCTAAAAGAAAAAAAAAAAGGAATGGAACTTTCTAGTTAAAAAATGCTTAACTCTCACACTGTGGATTAAAATACACTTCTTTTTGGAATGGGTTTTATCAACTCTAAAGCAGTCATCTTGAATGCCTACATATGATTTCTGAATAATATGAAGAAAGTAAACAGGAAGGACCTATTATTGTCTTTCTATCTCCTCCTTTCTAGAGTCAATACCAAGCACCTAGTGATATATGGCATATAATGCAAGATGGATGGGTGGTGGGTGGGTGGGTGGATGGATGGATAGATGGATGAAATAGATGCACAAATTTAAGTGAGACAGGCAATTGAATAATGGTAGAGAAAGACCATAAAAATAAGCATCATTGCTGAGATGAAATGATTCCTCTCATCCTTGCATAGGGCAATGAGGCATGGACAGAGTAAAAAAAAAAAAAAATTAAAAAAAAAAAAAAGGAGGGCAAAGGAGTTGCACTGACACAAGCCTAGCATTGCATTTCTAGAGATTAAACTGAAATCGTTCAAGGACCCACTGCTAAAGGTGACAACTGGCTGAGTAGTACTTTATAGTGAACGTTATATACCTGTTGCTTTCCTGGATGTTTTCTTGGAAGTGGGCTGAGTACTGATCATCATTTAAAATTCTGTTTCTACCATTTCTTGGTGCAAATTGATGATTGTGTGTAAAACTAATGGGAAGATGGAAGGAATCATGATCCTGAAATAAAATTGTCAAAAAATACTTTTATTGAGCACCTACAATGTGCTCATCTCTGTACTAAGATGAAGGAGAATTATAAAGATTGAAGATGCAGTAAAACATAGCAGTTAAGAATACAGACTCTAGAGTCATGCTGCCCAGGTTGAATTCCCGACTCTTACTTACTGATTGTGTGGCCTTGGGCAAATCATGTCATTTACCTGTGCCTTGGTTTTCTCATCTGTCAAACAATGGTGCTATTTGAATCTACCTCCTATGGTTGTGAGGATTTATTGAGATAATATCTATATATATGTGTATGTGAGCACTTGTGTACAAATACATATTATATTGCTTAAAGTGATTCCTGGCACATAGTAATCACTATTAGAGTTTTAGTTAACATTATTTTATCTAGTTCTGAAAATTAGAGCCATCCGAAAAAGAAATAGATCCCTTTAAGTAGAAGTGAGTCTTGTATCACTAAAACCTTCAAGGCCAAGCTTGCTAGCACTTTTTGGTGAGGTGGTATCGGGGCTTCAAGCAGATGATAGAAGGGAACTCAGTGACCTAAGAGCCCTTCCAACCCAGAGAACCCCAGTTCTATGAATAATTCCAACTTAAGTGAAAGCTCAGCTCTCCCATGTGAGGAGCCATTAACTTTTATTTCAAGGTCACAGAATGAACTTTCAGAAACCACCATTTTTCTCAACCAGTTAAAATCAAATGTAATATGTGTTTTCATTTCATGGTGCCTGAGGAAAATTTAATTGTAGCATGAACTCCAGCTCTTACTAGTTTTAAGTAAAATTGCCAAAATAAATAGAAATGTGGGATATTTCCGGGCTCACACAGCTTCCGGGACATTTCAGTTTCTAGGGCTGCCGATCCAGTGCCTTTCACAAACATTTGATCTTCTTTCAAACATCTCTTGAAAACAAACAAAACCTCATACAGCTTCAAATGTGCGTGCTGTTAGGATGTAAGGGTGGAAAAAGAAGCAAAAAAAAGGAGCCCTTCAAGAGCCCCTATCCCCTCCCTTCACCCCTTGACCACCCTCCCACCAACCACCAACAGGAAATAATGTTTTCTTAATAACATTTTGCAATTTCTCAAGTCCATTAACATCCATGGAGAAAGATGAGGTCTATTCTCTTACTTGTCTGTGTGAAGGGAATAAGTCTTTTTCATTATTTAATAGGTAACAGGGAGCTGACTTTTAATCCAAGGGCAAATCTGATAGTTTGAAGTTAAAGTGGTGGACACCTTTGGTAGCAATAAGAAGATAAATTGTTTTAGACAAAGCAGGATGCCCTTTTATGAGGATAGGGATTTGGGGTGAATTGTTTCCCAAAATTTTTGGTAAACAAAATTTCTTGGCTTTTCTTTCAGTGAAGAATTCCTCAGGTTATATGCTCATCAAAATGATTAAAAGCCCAGCTACTAACTGATATGAAAATCAGTGACAGTATTTATTGACCTAAACAAGATAAATCCACTTTTAAAGAAGGAGCAGGTGAAGTTAACAAATGTTCTTCAGTGGCCACTAAACTTCCAGGTCAAAAACAGCTTCTCCATCCTTAGGGTGCTAACTGAAATTTGAGCACCTTTCCCTGATGTCCACATGTTTGGGGTTCATCTTTGATGGGACTCTTTAATGCCCTTAGAGCTACCTCACTTTTATCCAGCAACCAAAAGAGATTATTTAGAAATATTGACTTATGTTTAAACTCAAAAAGAGAGAAATAGAAATTGACAATAACAGGCAAATTATGCAAGATGTAGGACAATGGACCTGTAAGTCCATAACTGATACTTCTAGTGAACGGCCAGGAAAGTTCTCACCATATACTAGAAGCTCAATTACAGATCTGATGGGATATTGCTAGATAAGTAACAAGAGCTAGAAAACATTTGGAAAATTCTTATCTTTATCTTGTTAGCTAATATGGTTATAGTCTTAAGACCCATTGGTCAGGAAACTAACTCTTTTGAAAAGTGGAAGTTTGATAGAAAAAAGAATGCATCCAACTAATTTTAATTCTAAATGTCCTTGCTGGTAATTTACAATCTATAATTAACTATAGAAAATAGTTTTGAGGAGAATGGGATTCTTTTCTCTACTTTCTTCATGTGTATGTGTGTGTTTATGTGTGTTTGTTTATATAGTTTTGTGTTATAGCATTGTTGCAACCACTAGGGATTTGGAGTAAATCACTTTCCAAAATTATAGGTAAATACAGAATCTTGGCTTTTCTTTCAGAGAAGGCAAATTCTTATGTGAAAACTAATCATCGTTCAGGAGAAATCACATTATTCCTTTATCTTCTCAAAGGCCCAGGTTTAATCCTAAATTAAATATTATTCAGGAAATAATGGGAATGTTGTTGAAGGGGCAGAAAGGAGTCACTTTTCTTTCTATTGTATATTCTAAAGGTCCATGTTTTTCAACTACTTCCAATCTGATCTACAGAGAGAGAGAATGGCTCTATAGATCAGAAAACAGAAACTTTCACATAGAACCAATTTGGAACTTTAGAAATTTTGAGGTCTCATTCTTGACCCAGCATAATCATAGCTCAGTGCATCCAGCCTGCCATCATTCCAGCATCCCCTGCCCCTACTTCTATTAGAGATTGCGGTTATTGGCAAAAAACAATCCAGTGCCTTTTGTACCACTTTCCCCTTCCATAACCATAAACTTCTAACTTCCTCAATTCACTCTGGCATACATTCACTTCTGTTCCCATTGGATCATATGAAGTTACATACATTTATTTGAGTAGACATGTATCACTATCTCTCTGGAAAGAAAGTGGCAATGATTTATACCATCCTACATGGTTTTTCTAACTAGTAAGGTCAGAATTTCTATAGGAAGGTGGGATGTTAAAAGCAAGACCTATGAAAGACTAAGCATGATGGCAGTTCTTCTGTCTGGTAAAATAACCCCGAAGTTCCCACTGAGAGACCAAGAGATTTTACGTCAAACCCAAACTGACCAAGTGGCCCGTTCTTCTAAGATGAGATTCTTATGCCAAAAATTTTTTATAAAATTCTGTGTAAAATATATAAATGTTTATATGGGGCTTTCTGTCTGGCCAGATCCAGGAAGTCAAGTAATCAAAGACCAACTCAAAGATCCCTGCCATCTGCGAAAATACGATGTGCTCTTTTCACAGCTATAAATAACAATTATGACAAGACAAAAATTTCAAATGATTAGGTGCAAGATTAGATGCAGGTTGAGGGTTGGGTAAGGATTTCTGTTGACTGTTGTAGACTTGGGACTATGCAATATTTATGTCATGGTGTGAGTGTGGCATGCTTGAATAGTTCCAGGAGGCATTGTAGGACTAGAAAATAAGGAAAACATAAATGAATCAATAAATATATAGCATTATTACTGTCACTTTGTCAATATCGGTTGACTTGGGCCACTGCTGGATGTTCTGGTTGGTCTTTCTGTAAATAATGACATTTATTTCCTTCTTCAAATGAATATTAGGATAGAGACAGAAGTGATTTTGGCACAATGAAGCAATTCTGATTTCTAAAAACTATATACATGCGTGAATTGTTCTTGGGCCATTTTCTGTCTTGGAAAAGCTCCCCTGGCACCATGCATGTTTACTTTTATATGCTGAAAGGCTCCCATCAACCTCAAACAGATGCAAATCACTTTAACTTGTCATAGTGTTATTTTGTTCATCCTAAAAGTTCAGACAAGTCTTCCAAACTTCCAAAATTTCTCTCAATTCAGCGAGGAGGAAAATTTAGAGCACAGAATTTGAGTGTTCTGCCCAGATGTGTCACACACACAAAGAATGAGTGGAGGAAGGCAACACCCTTTCCTACCGATCCTGTGAACTCATCACTATGGCGTTGAAATGACACCAAAAGATACAACCCTGGGCCTCACATCTCCTCAGAACATAGCAATATAAATCACTTCATACACTACTTTAAATAGTCCAGCGTAAGTTGTATGTCAGATGTATGGCATTTTGGAGGCTTGAGAAAAAAATAGTCAAATCTAGTTTTTAGGTAAAAATGTGCTGAAACTTTAGCACATATCAGTGAAATTGCTAGAATGTGGTGTTTCACTTTTAAAATACCACAACATTTGAACCTTTCAGCAATTCCAAAATCAACTCCCTCTGGGGAAGATAGTGTGCTTAAACTTTTTTTTTTTTTAATTTAAAAATGTAACACAACACAAACAGCTAACTAAACAAGCTGCCCATAAAATCAACAGTCTAAGCAGTCTGAACCCTGAAGTGTTTTACAACATCCTTCAAGACTATTAAAGGCAATGTAAATACCTCTTGCCCACAAGGGAAAATACCCTTCAGCACTTTTTTTTTTCCCTTTCTATTTTTTTCCAGGCTTTTAAACAATTTTGGTAGTGATTTCTTACATCACAGACAGAAATTTCTGAAGTAGAGTCAGGTGGTATCCTTTGAAGAGTAAGAAAGTTGCTAAATCTGGATAATCCATGAATAATTATGGGACAAATATAAATTCCCTAAATCCTAGGGATTCCTAGGGATGCACCAGTCTCTAGAAAAAAGAAGTATACATCTGGTATCCCAGCATTCAAGGGAGCCCTGAGCACTCAGTAAGTAGGTTCCCTTTCTTCAGCCAGAGAAAGGCAACACCCTCCTATGGGATGTGCTTTGATACCAGTAACTATAAAAGGTTAGTGGGCAGTAAGAATAGCTGGTATTTATTAAGCACATGCCCTGTGGTAAGGATTATATTAATTATTTCAGTTAATCTTCATCATTAGTATATAGGGTAAATATTAAAATTATCCCCATTGTAGAGATTTAAAAACTTGGGCTAAGTAAAGCTAAATGTCTTACCAAGGTCTTGCTCTAACAAATGGCCAGACCAGAATCTAAACTCAAGATGGACTCCAGCATGTTAACCATGCACTGCACTCTCTTTTCTGCATTTTTTCACTGATACTTCTTGTACCATAACCCACCAACTGTAAGTCCCAAAATAGGAGGGGGTTCTGTGCTATTTGTCTCCATAAAGAGCACAGCAGGAAGTAGGAAGCCATGCAAGGGCTGCTATTTAAACTCTATTCTATTACTTATATAGAAAAATTAAAACAATTTAGCCAGCTTTTCTTGGTTTGCTATGTTTGTTCAAAGCACCGTGCCTCTGGGGAGGATATAGAGGTGAAGGAAACATGTTACCTGCCCTCAAGGTGCTTACTTTTCAGTGGGGAAACAAATATACAATTTACTCTACAACACATCAATGCTTTAACAAAGATAGAGGCAGAGTGGACTCTGATAGCACCGAAGCCTGAGCAAACTGATGTTGCTAATAAATAACTTCACAGAATGGATCAAAATCAAGGGCTCTTGAAAGAGTAGGCTCTCTCACATGCAATTATGTCAGGTAAATGTGTAAGGATGATCACCTGCACTCATAACAACATTATGAGGTGGGTGCTCTTATCCAGCCCTTTCATTTTACGGAAGAGGAAACAGAGGAGAGAACAATGTAATGATTCTTAAGGTCCTTAATTCCTGTGTGGGGAAGTAGGATCCAAACTAGGTATGTAAGCCCAGGTCTTTGGGGAAACAGATGAGACAGGGTTAAATGAGCAGGATATTATTAGGGGAAATACCCATGTGAAAGAAGGGAGGAACTGGGAAGTCTGGGCAAGCCATCAGAATACAATGTAAGTCTGACCTCAAGTGAAGGAGAAGGGCAGGCAGAGATAATGTTGGGTGAAGTGTCTTGGACTGCTGTACAGTCCAAGGAAACACCCAGAAAAGCCACTGGGTAGACCTTGAATCAAAAGTTTGGCAATAGAAGAAATTTTATGTTTCCCAGGAATGGGTCTACCTTATATCCCCACCATACTCAGTCTTGGCATTAGAGAAGATGCCAGCTCTGGGCCATTCACCATGGCCAGAGAAAAGGGTCTTATTGGAAAAAAATGGCCATTCCCACCATAACCAGAGAAAAGGTAGGATGAGGTAATTTCCAGAACAAAAAAAAAAGAAAGAGTCTAAGCAGAATGATATTACATTCAGTCTATATAACTTTTACTTTGTTGAAGAGGCAACTATCCCACCAGGGATATCCCACAAGTCTCTTGAAATGTGCACATTTGTCCTTTTGTTTTAAAAGTCACATCCCAAAGCACCAAGTAGTTCTCATGACACTTACTTTCTTGGCTCCAAGAGATGAAAGTCTGACCCAACTCTCCTGGAATTGGAACTTGTGATTCCCTGAAGTAAAGAGATAATCAAAGTTGATACTGAAACATCTAAATTGTCCTCCACAATTTCATGTGTCTCCATACCAAACCAGCAAAATAGCTAAAGTACATCCACTGTATTATATATGTTAATTGCTCTTCCCCCCGCCCCATTTGGCCCTTTTTAGGAGAGGGTCAATGCTGAGCTAGGACTTTATGCTACACAATAGGCTGCTAATATTCCATGCTGGACAGTATTTTCCTAGCATTTCTTACAGGGTGCCAGGCTTTTATTAGACTTTATGCCATATAATACTTACTTGTTTGGAGTAGTTGAGATGGAAACACAGTCTATTGAAAATGTCACTGCTTCCTCTCTGAAATTTAAAGAGACTATTATCATCCTTCTTTTAGATACTGTTTCTCAGACAAAATCTCATAAAGATAGGTGGGGCAAAAAGAAGGGCTTATAATATCCACAGGGTTAGCTTTTGCTAAATGAATAGTGTGCTACTAGATTCCTATCAATAATAATATAAATGGGTCCTCACTCACTCTTGTGGTAAGGAAAGGTACCCCTCCATAATTTAGAGTCTTGCCTTACCCTCTAAACAAGAATATACCACCATCTGGGATCATGGGCAGCTTATAACACTGTTAATTATTATTATTGTTGGAAAGATATTTGGACCTTGAAGCACCCAATAATGTTTTATCTTTCAGGGAAACAATATGATAGAATGGCTAACTGGTAAGTTCCAGAATCAGAAATAAACTGGCTGTTTAGTTTTTCTAAGCTTCAGATTCCTTAAAGGTAAAATGAGCAAGACATAGTATCCATCTGCAAGAGAACTAGGAGAATTAAATAAGAAAAATATGTGCAATTAGCATATATAATATAGTGCCCAGCCCTGAGAGATAGAACTATCTTATTAAAATAATAAGTTGTCTAATTATTAGTCCTAGGTCTATCAGTTTGTTATTATGTGACCTCAAGCAAGTCACCAAATCTTAGCATGTCTTAGGTTATAAATAAGACTGATGCCAATATCATGTTACTGGTGATTACCGTATAAACTACACAGTGTCTACAAATGTTAATCAAGGTTATTGTGTTACTGCCATTGTTATTAGCTCTCAGTGATCTTTTTAATCAAATGTTTGTGGATTGCTTTCCTTTGTAAAGCCAGGAGCGAGGAGAAGAGCCAAGAGACAATAGGAGAATGTGAATGTCATGTAATACCTCAGGACATTTTCCAGCTTCCTAAATATCTGAGTATGGTACACAATGTATTATAATGTATATCACAAATTAAGATGTTCCAAAACTTTTTCCCTGATGAGTTGATTAACGTTTCCTTCAGAATGATAAATTTTCTCAATCAACCTGAGTGAGCTAGAGGACCAACATTTTTTTGAAATAATCGTACCTTCCCTGGTGTCAATAGGAAACAGTATTTACTCACTACTGTTTTCCTTTCAAAAATCTGCCTAGTTGCATACTAGAAACAGTTTCAGCTGGTTTGTTTGTCTTGGACAAGCTGTTGAAGTGAAAAGTTTTTGCTTGGCTGAATGTGGGACAGTTTCATAACCCTCAAGAAGTGCATTGAAGGTGGGTGCCAGCTCAGGCTACTTCTAACATGCCTCCACTTGCTGCCCATTGTCAAGGGTGGCCAGCGTAATTAAATTAAGACAATGAGCAAAGCAACAGATGCGACTGGGACCAAATCTCTGAGTGCTTTTGTTTTGTCACTGTCATTGTCTACAACAAAGAAGTCACATGTGAGAGCCTGGGAAGGGAGCCAAATGCAAACCAGACAAAATCCCAGCTGGGTTTGAACGGCCTCCACCTTACACGTGTATGCATGGGAACCATGCTACTTGGAGCAGTGTCTGCTCCACCCAAGTGAGTTTCTGCCCATGGCTTTGCTGCAAGGCCGAAACAGACTCAAAAGAAATACACCAGAGGATCCCTGTGCTCAGACTGACACTTCACCTCTGCTTTGAGAGAAAAGAAGAATCTGTTGGGGGAAAGGATAAGATCCATATGGTTGACCAATCTAACATCAATTCTTTTTGCTACAGCTCTCATGAACTTGAAGAGGGACGGACATAAAGAAGATACCTGAACTTTTTATTCTGTAAATCTGGGGTTTAAACATCTCTGGATGTTTAAACTGGAGACTAAACAGTTTAGTTTTGATGTTTATATGTTTAGACTGGAGATTAAAGATTAATCATCTTTTAATTTGTTACTATTTCATTCTTGAGCATTTCTCTTAGTGTGCTCATTATCCAGATACTTAAAAACTTCTTTTTTTAAGCTGGTATGGATGTTTAAAGAGAAAACAGAGCAAAATCAAATTAGCATATTTTTAGATCTGTTATTTAATTTGATTAGTAGTTTTGTAGAGAGGTGGTATCCATAATAATGACCATTTAGGGGTTTTGATGAGCCAAATAACATCTGCAGGGTCCATTGCATACTAAACAGAAAAGTTTCAAGGAGTTTGAGACAATAGTGATCTAAATCTGTAGCTCCATTTTTTTTCTTTCATTTTTCAGGAGAACTCCTTTAAGAATGCAGAATAACATGTAAGATTAGGAATATAAATTTACCGGTAGCTTGACAGGGATGCTTTATATAGTTACAAATACATGTTAAGTGGACTTGGTAAAATTGTATATTTGGGGGGAAAGTGCCAGTATTATAAACAGATGCATTTCAAGCTATCCTATACAAATGCCAAACTTCTTCCCACAAGTTTTCAATGGCCACTGAGTTAGTTACTTTAATAAACATATTTACACAGCAACACTATCTTCTTTCTATTTAGTCAGTACAGGATATTGACCATCAACTTATAAAGTGCTAACTAGCTTTTTTGAAGAACTTGATGATAACTCCAACATTCCACGCAGAGCTGAAAAATATGTGTAAGAAATATTACCAAATCCCAATGGGCCTCTGCCAGTAGGTATTATTTCCCGGGACCATAGTTGATTCTGTCCCAGCTTCTCACACCCTGCAGGCTCAGGTCTAAACATTTTCCAAAGTCCCTTACAATGACCTATAAGTTCCTAAGAATGATTGCGTTGAGAGGTCATTACCTCAGCCAGAGGAATAATTTGGAGATTCCAGACACCATAGTGAAAACTCTTGTTTTTGGTCATGATGAAAACATGTTCTGGGAGAAAGCGATATTGGGGATTCTTAAACTTCATTCTGTACCAATAATGATTCATTATGTCCTCCACTAAGGGCCTCCTGGCTAGAGGTAAAACCAAGAGAAAAAGCACCTTATATTCATGCATACAGATGCCATTTCCTCCTGTATTTAATCCACATCTTCTTATTTGTATAAATATACTTTTCTATTTAAATATATTCAAGTATAAAATAATAACTATAGGAAAAGTATAAGGACATTATTAGACAGTCATTATAGTTATTTAATTCATTCTATAGCTATTTATTGAGCAACTGCAATATTCCAGGCTTTGTTTTAGACACAGGGATATAACAGTGAAGAAACAAATGGGTCTCTAATATATAGGGCTTCTATTCTAAGCAAAACTCAATATTCCTTAGATGGTAACAGCATTGCTTGCAGATAAATGAATGGTAGCACCAAAACAAGGAACCCAGAGTTTCTAGTCTAGGAATGGTTTCTAATGAAGATGAAATAATAATAATAATGACTAAATAATAATAATATTAATAATAATAAAAATAAATTATTAATACTTATGTAGTGCTTACCATGTGCCAAACCCATTATAAATCTTTTGGGGTACTAATTCTTTAATTTTTAATCCTATAAGGTAGGAACTATTATTATGCTAGTTTATAGATGAAATTGAGACACAAGAGATTGCCATTTGTACAAGTTCACATAACTAAAACTGAATGAGTCAGGATTTGAACCCAGCTCAGTATATCTGTGATTTACAGATTCTAAGTCAATTATAAAACATCCCAATCTTTTACTTCTAAAACTCTCCCTCTCTCCATAGGAAGAAAAGAAAAAAATGAAAAATGTCTTCTTCTTACAAAAATTAAACCCCCCAAAATGCACTAAAACAACAGAGGATGATCCCAGAATGTGTTGTGGGTTTTTTTCCCCCTCTTAGTAAGAAAAGATGTCACAGGCCAGAATTCTGGATTTTTCAGAGTCTCCTTCTGGTCTACAAATCTGTGATAGCGGCGGGTGAATAGAAACACACTTCTGTGTGATTATAAGGCAATCTCTAGTCCCCATGACACCAAGGGCACATAAAAGTAACCGAACTTCCACTAAACTGAAAACTAAAGGCCTATTTACATATGTCTTTCTTAGAAACAAACAAACAAACAAACAAAAAACTGGCCCAAGCTCTCTGTGAGATTGACTGATGAGGCATCAACTATGAAAGGTTGAGACCCAGTGTTAGAAATGGATGCGGGGGCTCCTGGGTGGCTCAGTGGGTTAAAGCCTCTGCCTTCGGTTCAGGTCATGATCCCAGAGTCCTGGGATCGAGCCCTGCATCTGGCTCTCTGCTCAGCAGGGAGCCTACTTCCTCTTCTCTTTCTCTGCCTGCCTCTCTGCCTACTTGTGATATCTCTCTCTGTCAAATGAATAAATAAAATCTTAAAAAAAAAAAAAAAGAAACGGATGGGGAGGGCACATAAAACTTCATCAAGTTAATGTCACTTTTTCTCCCTTATTTTTAGGAAGTACATTTGAAGAACGCAAGTAGAGGGAGTGCAGGAAACAAGAACTACAGAATGTAGGAAGACCTTCCTGTTTTGTGAAGAATGACGTGCCACCGGCAGGATCATTTGCTCTGTAGGAGTTACCTGATAAACACCAGAAGACCTACCAAAAAAATAAGTTTGATAACATTTCAAAAGATGGGCATTCCCCCAATGAAATACGCAAGTAAACATTCCAGCATTGTCTTTAGGAGTGATTGTTAAAAGCTTTGCACCTTGCAATAATGGTCCTGGAGTTGGTAGATTGCTGTTGATCCTTTATCAATAATGTTCTATAGAGAAAAATATATATATAAATATATCTTAGTCCCTGCCTCTCAAGAGCCACAAATGCATGGGCGTTGTATAGATCCAGTTGCACTAAATTTGTTTCTGAATCTAGGCTGCTGGAGCCATTCATTCAGCAGTCTTGTCTAAGTGGTTTATTCTTTTTTTTTTTTTAAATTTGCACTTCTTACTACGCAACACAGGCCATTTGTTTTACAGTGTCTGATAATCTTGTTTGTTTATCTCTACCCTCCACTTCATCATCTTTATATTTGCCAAATTTGGCCTCCTCAAGAGCAACAACAAGCAGTCAAGTAGCACACCCAAAAGATTTTAACCCAAAAAATTCCATCTGTGGTATCTGTACCAAATATAAGTTGGATGCATTTATTTTAGACATAAAGCTTTATTTTTCCACATCTTGCTAAAAAAAAAAAATGCAAGTAGTTGCAATTTTGAGGCCAATCATTTTTAGGCATATGTTTTAAGCATAGAAAGTCTCAAACTCTCAAAAGTTCCTTCAAATGATGAGTTAGTGTGCAACGTGATTAGTAACTTTTCTCTTTTTATTTTTTCCATATAGAGCACTATGTAAATTTAGCATATCAAGAATACAGGATATATCACAAACAGTATGTAAAACTCTGTTTTTTAGTACAATGGTGCTATTTTGTAGTTTGTTATACGAAAGAGTCTGGCCAAAACGGTAAAAGGTGAAAGCAAAACAAAAGAAGCCTGGAGCCAAAGATGACACAAAGGGGAAGGGTCCTAAAAATCCATCCATTTGGGAAAGAAGGCAAAATCCCCCAATGATGCCTTCCAAGAAAAAACTTAAGATACAAAGTCTGCTAATGCAAATTTGATTGGGGAGTCCAGAGAGGAGTGGAAAAAGCAGAAGGCTAGGAATTTAATAGTCCTGGCTTTTATTTCTCACTGAAGGAACAAACATCTGCTGACTCTGTCACAGACTCACCACTGTGTGACTTTGGGCAAGTCACTTCACCTCTCTGTGCCTCAGTTTCCTCATCTACAAAATGGGGGCAAAACGCCATCTACCTACCTCACAGGGGTGGTATGAAGATTACAAAGATAAAGCTCCAGATTTTATCCTGGGTTGCTAGAAGGGCACAAGGTCAGAGCCCTTCAGTTGCTGGGTTGCAAAGAATTATAGAAACAACCCATTCATGGCATAGCTAGGAAACTGATCAGCCAAATGTTCCTGACATGCTAATTCTTGTCAATGTAGCTATCCTGCTAACTATTCAACCATCCTAGTTAAAAGCTGCCAGCTCCATCTCTTTCAAAACCCTTTCAAAATAAGTAAGAAATATCTGATTTACAATTTGCTCTGAATTCTGCACTTGGATTTGTGAATACAAAGTGCAAAAAGAAAAAGGAAAAGAAGAAAAAGAAAAAAAAAAAAAAGATTTCCACCAGTGAAAGAGCGACTATGCCATCTGTTAGCACTCACTGACTCTTCCAGGCAGTTACTAGTAACCTAGTAATACTTCTTGTAATATTATAAATGATACTTTATTCATTTTGAACAATATAGTTCTCTTTCTCTTTCCCAAATTCTCTTTGGGCAATCTAAAAAAAATGGCCCAAGATTGCAAATATTGAAATAATATCTAATTCTAACAAATCACAAAATCACTTTCTTTAATAAATTTTGATCTTACCCTTAGCTATATTTACATATACATTTTTTTAAATTTTTTAAAAAATATATTTGACTAGAGTTGCTAACTGAGAGGCAAAATTTTCCTTTAAAACTAGAAATTTTCCCTTATGTCTGCTTACCAGAGTGACCCCTGGCCCTCTGCAGATGCATCTTATCCATTTAACTGAAAATTGATATCAGGAAAATCCAACAAGTGAGGACAGGCCCATGGTGACCTAGAAAATGTTTCCCATCTACGTACTAAGATTTTCTTATTACAACAATAAATCATCCATCATTCACGTCTTTTTATCTGCCTTCAAACATTTTGGTGAAAAGCAACCAGGCCTGATTACTTCATGCAAACTGTATTTCTTTATTCTTGGAAATTGTGCATGGAAAACAAAAATAACATCTTTAGTTTGCATCCCACTGGTTCACCTCAAGGTTCAGAAACCAGAAAAAGTCTAAGACTTCCTGGATCTTCAAACATATGCAAAAAGAAGCCCTATGTGGTGGGTCCCCCTGCTCAGCCAGTAAGTGCTTAAACCCTCAGATCCTCAGCATTACTTGAATTGAGCACCTCTGGCATGCTGAGCAATGTTGTAATCACTACACACAAGTGTAAAAGAAACTGGAAGTCATTTTTGCCCTTTATCTGTTTTCAGACCTTTGTGTTCTGTGGATTTAGATGCAGGACCTCCCTTTCCAAAATGACAGGCATTCTGCTTTTTATTTCTTGTTCTTCGTGTATACCTTTTAAAATTACTGTCTCCCAGCAACACTTTGCATGCAATCCTCTGCAGACCTATGGGTTTCAAGACACAGCTGGATATAATAATTCTAAGAATGTCTACGACTTATTTTTCATTTAATAATTCTATTCACAGCCAAAATTACCCTAGTGAGGAAAGCTTAAATATACAAAGCTATATTATTTTTAATTTTTTCTGACACATAATCCTCTCCAACTGTATTATAAATCAATGAATAAAAATTAACTAATCATACTAACTCACTATCTAATTTTTAAATGCACTAAAACTAGAAGACAGATCAATGTAAAACTTCAAAAGTCAGTTGATCTACACACTACAGCAGAATGACCCAGGACCGATAGAAAGGAGCACCTAAAATTTCATATCTCAAAACTTTTATAACCTTTGCTTTGGATTTTTCAAATGAGGCAATTTCAAAAGCTTTATGAAAAAGCTGTAAAAATCAGTAAGAATGAGCTTTCAGCTTACAGGCTTAGTTCTAATTTAACTAACAAAACTGAATGCCTAGATCAATTTTGGTTCCCAGTTCCCCAAATAACATCACAGTATCTTTTGAACATTTTAAGGTGAGGAGGCTCCACTGAAAAAGTAAATGTATCCTTCCATCAGAATCCATTCTTCTAGAAATAAAAACTTGCAACACCCCCACACACAACCACCACGTGCACAAGCACGTGCACACACACACTCAAGAGAGCAATGGAATACTGAGAAGAAATCACTTCCCTGAAAAAACTTACTAGGAAAAAAAAAAAAAAAAAAAAGCCTGGCCTCCCTTGGGAATCCATCCCCTTCTTGGAATGTCAATGTTTGTGTAGATGAAACCATCTCATGCACTGTGGCTCCAGGGTTTCTGTTACTAGCTTATGCACTTGGGAGACTTCTTAAATGAAAGATGTAGCACATCTTGCTTTCCCATTTATTGTTTGGCCAGCTATGCCACTGTGGTGCTATTGTTTCTTTAAGAAAGTACTTGACTAAAAAAAAAAAAGAAAAAAAAAAGAAAAAAAAAGAAAATAAAAGAAAAAAAGAAAGCATAGACATATTTTTTTAAAGTATGAAAACAACAATTCTATAGATAGATGGCTTAATAAAATAGCATGAGGTCTAGTTACCACCACCTTTCAACTTTTTATCACTCACAAGTAGAGTACTGTTCACCAAATTGTGAGTTTGGGGGTGTAGGGACAGAAAATGGAATTTTTGTAAAATCAGAAGGCTCTGTTATTCTGCTGGCTCTCAAACTCAGCAAAATTAGCAATATGTTATCCAATCTGAACACCTCAATCAAGAGCATGGAGTATACATAGGGGAAAAAAAAAGGACCTTCAAAGCAAACGGCAGAACAAAACATGATAAAGTTACTTATTGATTTTTGTGCTCTCTGCTCTAAAACAGATATTCAGCAATGGAGAAAATAAAAACAAAGAGAAAGAATGCATAGATTAAATCTGCTAAAAACAGCTTCTGCCACATCCCCCTTAAGTCATTCTTTGGCATTTACTGGTTTATAGAAGATACTCTCCCTTCAACTAAACATCTCAGAGCAGTAGCTCTCATAAAAAGCAATCACTGATCTCATTGGGAAGTGTTGGAAAGTATTTCCTTATGAGATGGGGGTTATCTACTGATAAGGAAAGAGAAGAATTTATGAGAAATCGTTGAAAGAGATGGCTAACAATCTGTGAAGATTTTTTGTTTTTATTTTTGTTTTTTTTTTCTGTTTTTTACTTTATACAGTCTTTATGAATATCTTAATGTTCAAAAATGACGTGGTTCTTTCTTCTTTTTTTTATATTGGAATGAGGGATGATAAGTTAAACCCACATAGACTCTTTAAAACTATAGGCTAGATAGAAGTGTATGTTTGACTTGTTGAAGCTATAATCAGACTATTTAAAATGTTTTTCCTATTTTTAATCTTTAAAGAGTGTACTAATTTATTAGAGACAGATCATGTTTGGCTCTCTTCATAAAAAAGAGCATTCTCATTTGAATCACCTGGGCTTTCCCATCAATGTTTTCAAAAGATAAATCTGAGTTATCCATTATTATGGTATCATTTATTTTAAAAATTTTTAATAGAAGAATTGTGGTTCTTTATGTCCCTCTCTTGCAATGATCATGAAGTTCAGAATATGAGGGAGCTAAAAACAAGAGGAAAAATTTGTTGATTCTTTGTTTTTTGTTTGTTTCAATGCTAGTGTTTAATCCTATAGTACATATTTGCTTATTGCTATTTTAATATTCTAAAAGACTTTCCTATTAGGTGTTAGAAACTGATACATAGATGTTTGTGTGATTTCTATTTAAAAAAAAAAAAAAGGGAGATGAGAGGACTGTCTGAAACTTTAAAGTGCATATGGTACAGGATAAAGATACCAATTGAAATAACCAAGTCCTATCTAGAACAACACTTTTTTGGGGAAACCTCTCATATATAAGACAGAGGCCCAGGGAGTTTTTGAAACTGTCTCTTTTCCTCCAAGTGCTTATTCATTTAGTATTTGCTTCAAAATTTTATGGAGGGGTGACCAAACTTAAACCCTGGAATTAAAGGGACCTCTTTAAAATATATATATTTCACATGTTCCCTCCTAATTTACGATGACACACTGATCTTAAATATGGTCCCTCTTTCTCCCCATTCTTCAGCTGTCATTGGTAGGGTCTGAAGGAAAAAAAAAAGTATTAACTTTAAAAGAGGAACACAAAAGTCCAAATGTTATTGCCCAATTGAAATGTGAGTTTAGATGGAGATAGTTTCTCCTACTTAATCCCTATTGAATCACCTGACATCTTCAGAATGACCTTTTGCAAGCCTTAGAATCTGCCTTTTATTTAATTGCCCAGGCCTACTGCATCCTAAAGGTAAATATTATTCATTTTATTTTGGCCAAAATGCACTGATGTAAAAATAGGAAAAATAAAAAAACAAAAAATCCTTTCCAAGTCACCCACTGACCCCATTTACCTACCCAGAGCAAAATCACTTCTGTTAATCCCTTAATCTGATTTTGTTTGGGTATTTATCTTGTACCTGCTGCTAAACACACCGCAGGAGGGACTCTGAAACCTTGAACTGTCTACTCACATCTCTTATCTGTGTCTGTGTATCATTAAAATGTCTATTCAAAAAATTAAAAAGTTTCAAACACCATGCAGCTTGTATTCAGTTTACATAAAGGCCCCAAATACCATGTTAGATCTCCTGTTACTAAGAGTTAATGAACAATGAGAACTGGGATTACAACGTGTGTTTTACTTCATATGGTTTTATCACACTTACAGGGCAAGTGTGATAAATACACTTACAGACACTGAATATTTCCCTGCGACTTTGAAACCAGAAAATATTGGTCATTCGTTGTCTGTCTTAGTTCAAAAGCATATTTTTTATTAAATTAATTCTGTATTTGAAATCATTATTCATTTATAGCAGAGGAATATCAATCCTAATGACTTCTAAAACTGTAGCTAACTGAATCATCATCTTACATTTACTGTTAAGTAAGCATATTTGGAAAAATGTATGGCTAGAGCGTCATAATAAAATGATATATCTTTCTTTAGTAATTACATTAAAATTAATCATCTTTGATTAATTAGTTCTTTTGGACAATGTTGGTGTAATGTGTCATTCCTTAAGAATTCTGTTGTTATGTAGCATTTTTATTAATTGAGGTCACTGCAACAAATAACAAGAAAACTTACCCAGAAAAATAAAAATTAATCATACACCAGAATGGAGATATCTTATAGAATTTACAGATTATATTTAAAAATAAATGTTTCAAAGAGCTTGTACAAACTATGTAAGAGATGTATGAATTGTACGATATATGTATTAAACAATAAAGCAGGTGTAATTAACTGATCCCACTCACTGTAACCCAACAGTGAGTTATAATCCATGACACAAAGGGTCTGGGAAAAGATTTCCTATCAAACAGGGCACATAATACACAAGTAGCATTCAATATTCACCCATATTGTGAGATTCCATAAGAATGTGGTCTCTTAGCACTGAGTTTTTATTTCAATAAATCTCGCTAAATCTTTGCTGAATATCAAACTCACAACAGCATTTGTAGAAGCACAGGGTGGAAAGATTAGTAATTTCCCTCTTGTTTGAAAGTATCTCATTCTATGTTCCTTTTCTTAAAACTTCCATGAAGTATTTGAAAAGTTACCTGAATGTAAAAAAGGCTCAGGAGACTTGTACTTGATTTTAAGGAATTACTAGCAATACCAGTTCATTATTTTCCCACGTGCATCTCACCATGACTCCTGTAACTCCCTCAGAGATACCGCAGCTCTCCTCAACCCTATCCTCTAGACCTCCTTGTCCTATTTGTGCTCAACATCTTGCTGCCTATGGCCATGAGCTTCTAACTGCATTGCTTCTCTCCCTAGACAATACTTTTCTCCCTTTAGCCACACTAGGCTAAACTGGGTGCAGCCTTTCACTTAAGGTTTTGGGAATGATGAAGGGGAGGCAATTAAGCACGTGGCAAAAATTGGCTGCTAATGTCAAACATCACTATTAACTAAAATTCATTAAGGAATTTTGGCAGTTCATGTGCCTCTTGTCATTTTAGTAAGCCTCCTTCCTCCCCTCAGCAAACTGTCCCTGGAATTACTTCCTATCCAACTCTCCATCCTCTCCCTTAAGAAGAACTTGCAGGGAGTAATGGGGGTTAAGTGACTTGGGTGGCTCAGGCAGTTAAGCATCTGACTCTTGGTTTCAGCTCAGGGCATGATCTCAGGGTTTTGAAATCAAGCGCTCGGTGGGGCTCTTCACTGAACGTGGAGCCTGCTTAAGATTCTCTCTCTCCCTGTCCCTCTATCCCTCCCCCTTCCTAAAAATAAGGACATGCAAGGAAATCTATTTTGTTCTCCTGCAGAGCAATCTTGACCAACCCAGATTTACCCATGACGGGAGTGGGAGCAAGACCTGCTCACTTTTTATTACTGACTGTGCCCCAAAGATTATTTTTCCTAAAGAGAAAAGCAATTCTGTCCCTAAGAGGAATTCTGTCTTCCTTCTTTCATCTAAGTCAAATTGCAGCCTCTTTTAAAAAATGATATTTTTTCCTTCCTATAAGATCTATATGAGTGATAATTATAACCACCCCAACAATAATGGTTAATACTGCTGATTAATAATATTCAATTTGGGGTGACTGGATGGCTCAGTTGGTTATACATGTGACTCTTGATTTCGACTCAGGTCATGATCTCAGGTTGTGAGGTTGAGCCCATGTCAGGCTTCATGCTGAACATGGAGCATGCTTAAGATCCTCTCTCCTTCACCCTCTGCCCCTTCCCATGGAAAACAAAAACAAACAAACAAAAAAAAAACAAATAAAATAAAAATAGTGTTCATATTTGCTGAGTACTTACTAGGGGTTAGTCACTATGCCAAGTGGTTTACCTCTACTATCTTACTAGTCTTTATAAAAATTATCTGAGCCAGGCACTATTATGAACCCTATTTTACAGGTGAGGAAATGGAGATTCAAAGACATTATGTAATTTGCTAAAGGTCACAGATAAGCAGGATGGGCTTGAATCTGGGTCTAAGGACATCAAACATGTGTTTTTACTACTTTGCCTTTCATGCCCCAATCCAGACACAAGGACAGTTCCAGATAGAGACAGATACACTCCTATTAAAATGTGTTTTTACATGGTACAGGCAGAAATACAGGTAATTGCACCTTTGAGTGATAAACTATTTATGAATATTACATTATCAAGATAAATAAGCATTTTTGCTCAATAACCCATGTATCTAACTGGGCTTTCAAACTTACCTGCTGCCATTTCTCAGCTCCTTCACACTGCAATGTCAGTTCTTGGTATTCCTTCACATGGTGTATGTAATATCAGATGTTAAAACAATCTCAGGAGGGATGCCTGGGTGGCTCAGTTGGTTAAGTAGCTGCCTTCAGCTTGGGTCATGATCCCAGTATCCTGGGATCGAGTCCCACATCAGGCTCCTTGCTTGGCAGGGAGACTGCTTCTCTCTCTGCCTCTGCCTGCCACTCTGTCTGCCTGTGCTCACTCTCGCTCCTCTCTTTCTGACAAATAAATAAATAAAATCTTAAAAAAAAAAAAAAAATCTCAGTGTTCCTCGGTGAGGAAGGATGACTTTTGTCTTTACAGTCCAAAAATAAGCCATTTCTACTTAAGTAAAACTAGAAGCTGATGATGAAGAAGCTTGCCAAGAGTTGTTCTCTTGCCGGTTTGTCAAAGCCAGTGTGGTCTGAAGGAACATGGTTGAATCAGGGCTTCCACAGACAAAAATGTAAATTTGGGGAGTCAGTTTCATGAGACCCATGTTCTTATATCTCTGCCCTTCGAAAGGGCTTAGTTCTCCACTCCACTCTCAGGAGTTCTAGAGGGTATAATGCTAGCCCTACATGGCATTTTGGAAATGTGTAGGGACATTTGGGGTTGTCATTCATGGTAACTGAGGAAGGCATTATTGGCATTTAATTGGGCAGGGGGTTAGGGTTTCAGAAATCTTATGTAGATAACAAACTTATTTGTCATCAAACTTATGTATACAACAAACTTATTTGTCATCGACTTATAGCCTAAGCCTAGGCTATAACTCTAATTTACTTACAAACTCAAAGTATTTCTGCATGATTTTAATATAAACAGAATTTTTCAGGAATGCAATTACCATGTTAATTAAGAAGAAGGTGGTACTTTATTTCACTTGGAACTTTACCAAGTGTTGTCCACAATTTTAGAACAAATAAATAAATAAAATCTTTAAAAAAAAAAGGCAGACACAATTTTAGAAAAAACATCATTGATGACAATGCTAATTGTGCTGTTTAAATCTCTCCATTCTCTGAGCAGATCAGTCTACTTGCAGCTGTCACATTCATGATTCTCCACCTAAGTGTAAACATCTGACCACTTCATTACATGTTCTAATAGAGTTGTGTCTGAGCCTTTTTATCTTATAATGAATATTTTCTTATTATAAACTGTTTTCATTTTAGTTCTCCTTTATATTATAGTTCAGGCATCATTTTGATTTTTATTGTAATTGTATATGTCAGCATTATCTATAAATTTCTCTTCGGGACACCAGAGGATATATCATAAAATATTTGTTACATAAAGGAGAGCTTGGGTTTGATAGAAATGAACCACTGGTCTATACATACCAATTATGAACCTCCCTGGGTCATAATGACAGGTGGATGGCAGAGCCTTTGTCCTCTTTTCAGTGAGGCATCTTTAAAGTGTAAAGCTGAGCTGAAAGCTGGTATCTTCCTCACCTGTTTATGGATAGAGATTAAATCTCTTTGGGATCCAATAAAGGATAATGGTTATGGCTAATATAACATCTGGTTTATAAATGTTCTTTCCTTCACCCTGTGATGGGATGAGATGATTCTAAAAAGAATAAAGCAATCAGTAAAAACAGAAACAGATGTAAATTGGATTTGAGACAATTGCAACAGTACATCAGAAGTAAAATTCGACCTTGGATCTCAAGCAAGGTACGAAATGTGACCTATAAAGGAGGTCTCTCTCTCTCTCTCTCTCTCTCTCAAGATTTTATTTATTTATTTGAGAGAGAAAAAAAGAGAGCAGGGGGAGGTGCAAACAGAGATGGAGAGAGAGAAAATCTCAAGCAAACTCCACATTGAGCATGGAGTCCAAGGTAGGGCTCAACCTCACGACCTGAGATCCCAATATGAGATAAAACCACACTGAGCATGGAGTCCAAGGTAGGGCTCAACCTCACGACCTGAGATCCCAATATGAGATAAAACTAAGAGTCAGACACTTAACCAACTGAGCCACCCAGGCACCCCAGGAGGTTTCTCTTTCTAATGGCTACTACCAGGAAAGTTAAAACTGGAATACCTGTCCTATAATTTCCTAATTCTATTTTGCTTATTTAATTCAATGGCTCCGGCTTAGCCCCCAGCCTCCTCCAGGGGAAATACTAATCTGTTTCTCCAAATGGCAGTTGGAGAGTGGGAGTGGGGAGGTCCTAGTCTCCATTCATGACTAGTCTCTATATAAGTGCAATGGCCGAATCCATCATTCTACTCCACAAATATGGAACTGTCCTTCCAACTCCAAATCTCTGAGAGAGGGAGAGAGAGAATGAAGAGAAAGTGATTGTTCCTCTAAAGAGGAAAGGATACACAATGACAGAGGGAGAAATGATAGGGTTGGGCTCTGCCACCTTATTTGACCCAGAACTTCTAATTCAGCCACCCTTATAGAACCTAAAATACTCAAAGGCAGGGTTACTCAAGACCAAAACTCTCTCTTTATTTCTTTTGTCTCTCTCTGCTTTAAAGATCATTTGGAAATGGAAACCTGCCCATCCCCCTCCTATGGCCAAATAAATTTTCTTACACTGTTAATACTGATAAGTCCCTTCTGGTATCTCTAGACCTTACTACCATCGTAAAAGGTACACTGAAATAATTTAATACATATTTAGGCTATAATATACTGGTCATTTATCTGTTCACTCTCATATCCATTTCCCAACATTCCCTTCTTTGACTATGTTCATAAGGAACATTTCCCAGTCCCTGTGTTCTCTGGTTTCTGAGTAGGTTTGCCTAATAATAAGAGGCACAAAGGAAAGAAGCAGAGCAGGGGGAGGGAAGAAGCCAGGGTATTACCCCCGTTTTCTCTCTCTGCTTTAAGTAGCATCTTTGGCAACAATGGCAGTTCCTCCCTCATGGACCCTGTCCCTGGAGAATCAGCACCCTGTGCCTGGAGGAAATCTAGACCTATCCATACAGTTTTTCTCAGTTGGGAACGCCACCTCCTCTCTGGGTCTCTAGTCCTAGGGATGGTAGGGAATTCCTGATATTGGTATCTGGGTTGACTCCCCTCTCTAATTTGTCTAATCATTTCTTCCATCGCTTGTATTAAATACCCTCTGTTTATATACTGAGAATGGTTTCTGTTTCCCTCAATGGACCCTAACTAATACTCAAAGGAATAACATAGTGGTAAGAAGCATGAGCACTGAAATCAGGCAGACATGGGTTGTGTTGTGGTTCTGACACTTCTGGTTGGAAGCTTTGGAAAATTAAAATAATTTCTGTGAGGCTCCTTCCTCTTTTGTAAAGTGATAATAATAATAACAATATAATCTACCTCATATTATTTGAGGATTAAACATGATCATGCAAGTCCTTAAACTTCTAGTTTTCTCAAAATAGTGAAATTTCCAAAAATAGAACTATAAATTGACTTACGGTGGGAAAATATATTTGGCTAAATAAGGAGTTCTTTTAGAGAAACATCGATCATTATGTCATTACAAGGGAATTTATTTAAATAACATGGACATAATCTCAGAATAAAGGGAAATTTAATACATTAACCTTTAGGGAAACTCATCACATTGTATTAATTTGTTCTTTTCATCTTTTCAGTTTCTTTATGGCTAGATTAAAACACTGCTGCAGTTCTGCGTTGGTCTGCTTATCAGCTCTTGTGTGGTGTGGTTCCTAACATTTGTACAGTTACCTTCAATATCACTACTTCCATTGTTATTATTAGTTATGAGAGAATTAATTAAAGATCTAAGATACCCAAGTTAGAACATCTCCATTGGCTTGTCACACTCTTTTTTAATTATTATTTGTTCATTTATTTACTTATTTATTTATTTTGAGAGAGAGAGCAGGGGGAGGAGCAGAGAGGCAGAGAGAGAATCACAAGGAGGCTCTATCTCACAACCCTGAGATCATGAAGTGCTGAAATCAAGAGTTGGGCACTTAACTGAGAGAGCCACCCAGGTGTCCCTTGTCATATTCTTTTCTGTGTACATTCTGGTTCATAGCCTCAACTTTTCTGACAGTGACCAAGTGATCAGTGTCACTTTTTTCCCTAATTCTACTCTGACTTAGCAAAACCAGGTGAAAAGTACTCTTTGAACCTAAAATTCCTTGCACTACAAAGGCAAATGTAAAATCTCAAATCTGGCATTTTCTTGCTGTGTCACTGATCCTCTTTATTTACCCCAGCCCAGCCATCAGGGCTACAAACTTTCCAAATAATGATTTTTAATTACTTATATGGTATTTTCAGGCTATCCCTAAGTAGTACCAAAATAATTCCTCTTGTCACTATAATCAATTCAAGAAAACAATGTAATTAAGTCCCTTGTGTGTCATTATGTACAACCCAAACTCCACTAATTTTTTAACCACTTTTCCTGGATTCATCAGCATATAACTTTTGTTATTCTACCTCTTACTTTTAGTCATATTTGTTCTACACCATATTCTTCTAAGTCATGACTGTAATTTTTGGCAATCCATTAAATAATATTTGATGGTCTGGTCTCTTACTCCTCGACCTTTCAAATTTTCCATAATATCAAATAGAAAGATCCCTGATGTGGCAAACACAGAGTCCCTGAAAGAAAAGTGAAGCTATTTTCAAGTCCTTCCTAAGCTGTGAGGATTTACTTTGAATCTTTCAATATGTGCGTAACATTATTCCAAATCCTCTTTGGGGTTGCTCCTGTAGGACCCAGGGATGTATCATTCAACTGGAAAAGCAATTTGAGAACCTCTACGATTGATTTTTGAAAATGCAGTATCCACAGAAACAGACTTCAGATATTATCCCAGCAAATCCTGGCAACTCTGTGCTTGTATAGAAGATGCCTCCTGTGGGTTTTTCCAAAGGTTGTTCTATGGACATTTCCACTCGTTTAAACACAGAACATTCTATGCTGTATCTGTGTATGACTATTTAGCAAGAATTCTGAGTGTAGACTTGTATTTCCCAGTAAGAGTATGCAGCAAGCTAGAGCAGCCTGATAAGATAAGGAAAAATCTGTCAGTGAAAGGTTTGCTAAGAGAGTCTTTTGGGTACATTCATGCTAGGGTTTGTTTGTACAATATTAGTAAGCTGATTCGCAAAGTCAGACTGATAATATTCAAATATTTCCAAGAAGACAATTGCACTGAAGAACACAGTCTTAAATCAACACACTGCCTTTTACCTGAGAAGTAAATAAATGTGGAAAAACAGATGTGGGTGGCCTTAAACAATACAGTTCCATGTGCTTTTGGTCATAACATTGTCTCTGAAAATATGATCTCAGTCCACAAGCTGAAAGAGGAAGGCAGACAAAATTTCTTGAAGAAGCAACCCAGATAAACCCACTTGAAGCCATTCTTCCAGTATTTTAATGGATTGTACACAATCAATCACACTTTCTCATGGGCCCGCTTGGGACCAATGCTACAAAGTTTAGAGACAAGTAGATAAGATTAGGGGTGAAGTCTGTGAACCACAGAACACAGTTTTCCTCTCCATGAAACTCACTGGCCCTTCTGGGTATCAAACCCATGACCTTGGGCTCATTAGCACTCTACTCCAACCATGCCCAAAACAAATACAGGTTTGAAGCCAGAGGAGCTTCAAACCACACATAAGAATGTAATCAACAGAGCCACAGGGAAACACATAAAGTAAACACTTTCTATATAGGCAAAAAGAAAAGAAGATTTGGAAAGAGACTACATTCTCTGAATCCCTTAGTCATCTTAAGGCTTACTGGAAATTTCCACTTGGATATCTTCCATCACTTTGACTTCAACCCATTTTCCTCTCTCGGCTCCCACCCCTGTAAGGAATTTATCATTTGGAACTTCTGTCTACAGCACCATCACTCAATCAACCAAGTTCAGAACCTTGGAGTTCACCTTAGCAACACATTTGACCATCCAATACATATTTAGTCCAAAATAAAATCCCCCTAAAACCTGTATTCAAACAAAAATTTAAGGTTTGTTATTATCAGGTATTGACAAGACTATGGAAAAACAGGTATTCTCATATTCTGCTTGTGGATGTATATTCTAGTTCATTGGAGGGTGAGTGGGCAGTAACTATTAAAATTTAAAATGTCTGTATCCTCCATCAATTCAACTCACTACCCTAGGGACTCCCTGACAAGTCTGTGAATAAAGGAAAGCACAAGGATATCTGATGCAGCATTATTTGTTAAAGCAAAAATATGTAAATAATATCAATGTCAACAGTATGGAAATGATTAAATAACTCTGATTGCATTCAGGAAATGAACACTATCATTTAGTATTAAAAATGGGGTGTATCTCTATACACTACATGAATAGATGTCTAAAGCAAGATTTAGAATGATATCTATGGTGGCACGTAATAAATGCAATAGAAAACAAAACAATACATTTTTCTATGGAGATAAATAGATAGATGATAAATATCTTAATCCATTCAAGTTGCTATAACAAAA